ACACGAAGTTCGATACAACATAGATGGCACAACGGAATTTTTATCGGATACAGGAATCCAGTCATTGCACCAGAGTGGGATACATTTGATAGTCTGTCAAATGCGTCAATAAATAACTTTATAAATGTGTTAGAAACACAATACAAAATAGAAATAAGTATGAGGAGAAGATAAATTTGTGTGTAGTACATGTACATTTGTTAGATATATTAATATTTTATAGAATAATAATAATGAATTGTAGCTACTATTTTTTATAAAGCCACAAAAATGGGCAAAGAATAGATTTTGGAATAAAGCCACATAGATTCGTATTTAGAATATTATAGAGTATAGCCACATAGATTGGCAAATAATGAATTATAGAATATAGTGATTGTAAAAAGATAGATACCGGTATCATAAATAGAGTGTATGTCTTGTATTTTTTATTGTAATACTAGCTAGTATGTTTTCTTTTTTTTTGTATGTTACAATTTTTTTTAAAAGTATATTAATGATCTATGATTAAAATCATTTGGAGTTGGACTGGTCATTCAACTCCACACCCTGCACTTGTATAGGGCTGACCACCTTATACAAGGAGCATACAGCATTAAACATTTTCTTCATTTTTATGTAATTTTCAGTCTTGAATTCTTCTTTGCATATGTCTTTACATTTTCATTAGTCTGTCTTTTCATATCTTATCTGGCAATTTTCTTTATCTAGCAATTTTGTCTCAAATTGCATTTTTTTATCTTGTCTTTTCTTGTGTATATTATAATACAAAACAGTTTATTCTGCACGATTATGGTATATATATTCTTTTATTTTGAATGTTTTTTTTTGTACATATGTATATTTTCTCATGTTTGGGGACAAACATATTGGAGAAGGGGGGAATTTGTCATAGGTGTTCTTTTATGTAAAAGGTTAACTGTTTTTAAAGTGAATTTTATTGAGAAAACATATTATTTTAGAAAATATGAAATTATGAAATAATTGTATGACAAATTTTGATTTAATTACTCAGGTAAATTTTGTGAAACATGTCGCTTGTAAATAATTGCTCTGAGCAACGTTTTGGTATTTTGTCAATTGTCATTAATTAATCTGAGCAATATTAGGTTTTAATTAGTATCATAAATGTAATTAACTTGTATCTCTGTAATTGACATTATTCATATTTCACCTTTGGACATTTTTGAACAATAGTATTAATACTCAAATTATCTCAATTATCAAAATTATCAATGCCTGTCATTTTATGAGTAGTTTTCAGCATTCGCCTTAAATATCGGAGTCAAACAGTTATTCGTCAGTGTAGTCTCGTCGGTGTTATCCAGATAGGAGTGCTTCAAAAGCCAACCAGGCTCAGCTACTCAGGAGAAACCCGTACTCAAAAGACAGCTCAACACAACTGTAATCGTTCAAGCCAGACAACATTAACTTGGAATATTTCGAACATTTTGGACTTAAACTCAAACTGTGAATGGATTAGTGAAATTAGTGACTTTGTTATTTGGAACATTTGGACTTTATTTATTTGTAAATTGTTTTGGCATCATTATCATCATTTAGATCTGTTATTATATAAAACTGTTACAACTTGCTGCTTGCTTTATAGTTTTGCCTGCCATTGCTTAAGTCTTGCGAAAGACTGACCCCCTGTGCCTTGGGTTGTGCATGTTCGATAGTCCTCCTTAAACTCGACGTGCATTGGCTCTTGGTGACATATTATTTTAGAAAATATGAAATTATGAAATAATTGTATGACAAATTTTGATTTAATTACTCAGGTAAATTTTGTGAAACATGTCGCTTGTAAATAATTGCTCTGAGCAACGTTTTGGTATTTTGTCAATTGTCATTAATTAATCTGAGCAATATTAGGTTTTAATTAGTATCATAAATGTAATTAACTTGTATCTCTGTAATTGACATTATTCATATTTCACCTTTGGACATTTTTGAACAATAGTATTAATACTCAAATTATCTCAATTATCAAAATTATCAATGCCTGTCATTTTATGAGTAGTTTTCAGCATTCACCTTAAATATCGGAGTCAAACAGTTATTCGTCAGTGTAGTCTCGTCGGTGTTATCCAGATAGGAGTGCTTCAAAAGCCAACCAGGCTCAGCTACTCAGGAGAAACCCGTACTCAAAAGACAGCTCAACACAACTGTAATCGTTCAAGCCAGACAACATTAACTTGGAATATTTCGAACATTTTGGACTTACACTCAAACTGTGAATGGATAAGTGAAATTAGTGACTTTGTTATTTGGAACATTTGGACTTTATTTATTTGTAAATTGTTTTGGCATCATTATCATCATTTAGATCTGTTATTATATAAAACTGTTACAACTTGCTGCTTGCTTTATAGTTTTGCCTGCCATTGCTTAAGTCTTTCGAAAGACTGACCCCCTGTGCCTTGGGTTGTGCATGTTCGATAGTCCCCCTCAAACTCAACTTGCATTGGCTCTTGGTGACATATTATTTTAGAAAATATGAAATTATGAAATAATTGTATGACAAATTTTGATTTAATTACTCAGGTAAATTTTGTGAAACATGTCGCTTGTAAATAATTGCTCTGAGCAACGTTTTGGTATTTTGTCAATTGTCATTAATTAATCTGAGCAATATGAGGTTTTAATTAGTATCATAAATGTAATTAACTTGTATCTCTGTAATTGACATTATTCATATTTCACCTTTGGACATTTTTGAACAATAGTATTAATACTCAAATTATCTCAATTATCAAAATTATCAATGCCTGTCATTTTATGAGTAGTTTTCAGCATTCGCCTTAAATATTAGAGTCAAACAGTTATTAGTCAGTCTAGTCTCATCTGTGTTATCCAGATAGGAGTGCTTCAAAAGCCAACCAGGTTCAGCTACTCAGGAGAAACCCGTACTCAAAAGACAGCTCAACACAACTGTAATCGTTCAAGCCAGACAACATTAACTTGGAATATTTCGAACATTTTGGACTTAAACTCAAACTGTGAATGGATTAGTGAAATTAGTGACTTTGTTATTTGGAACATTTGGACTTTATTTATTTGTAAATTGTTTTGGCATCATTATCATCATTTAGATCTGTTATTATATAAAACTGTTACAACTTGCTGCTTGCTTTATAGTTTTGCCTGCCATTGCTTAAGTCTTGTGAAAGACTGACCCCCTGTGCCTTGGGTTGTGCATGTTCGATAGTCCCCCTTAAACTCGACGTGCATTGGCTCTTGGTGACATATCCCTTTCGACCCTCTATGCCCACAGAACCTACACAATTGATTTCATGTTAAATACTAGTAGTTAACGTCTCAAATATGGCTGAAATGTTTGATATTTGACTTGAAAAAGCAATTGCTAGAAGTCTATATGGAGGTGGAAAAATTTTTTCATTCATTTGCCAGCCATCTGATCTTGGGTATATCCAGGTAAACAGCATGTCAGTACTTGGATTATATTTACATGTCACTGGCATTTTTCACACCTATAGTGTATACAACTCTTTGTCCCTTAATAAGGGGTAAATAATCAAATATATTGGCTTGTCAATAAGTACAAAAATTTTGTTTACCAAAAGTGTTTTTATGAAGAATATTTTCATCATGCAAAATGCATATGAAAGATATTTTTGTATTTTTGTATACTTGATCAAGTATTATATTGAAATTGTGATAAAACAATAATAGCACAATAACTTTTTATATATTTGGTACACTGTTTCCTTGTTCTTAGCTCACCTGGCCCGTTGGGCCAAGTGAGCTTTTCTCATCACTTGGCGTCCGTTGTCGTTAGCTTTTTACAAAAATCTTCTCCTCTGAAACCACTGGGCCAAATTTAACCAAACTTGGCCACAATCATCATTAGGTATTTAGTTTAAAAAATGTGTCCGATGCCCCCACCAACCAACCTAGATGGCCGCCATGGCTAAAAATAGAACATAGGGGTAAAATGTAGATTTTGGCATATATCTCTGAAACCAAAGCATTTAGAATAAATCTGACACAGGGTAAAACTGATTATCAGGTCAAGATCTATCTTCTCTGAAACTACTGAGACAAAGCTAACCATACTTGGCCATAATCATTATTAGGGTATCTAGTTTAAAAAATTTGTCCGATGACCCCGCCTTCCAACCATCATGGCCGACTTGGTTTAAAATAGAACAAAGGGGTAAAATGCAGTTTTTGGTTTATATCTCTGAAACTAAAGCATTTAGAGCAAATCTGATAGGTGGCAAAAATGTTCATCAGATTTAGATTTATCTGCCCTGAAATTTTCAGACAAATCCGACAACCCGTTGTTGGGTTGCTGCCCCTGAGTTAGTAATTTTACAGAAATTTTGCAGTTTTTTGTTATTATCTTAGATACCATTATAATATCTAATATCTAATACTATTAATTATGATTTTAACCTTATTTTACCTGATTTCCAAAGCATCAGTAAATACAGGTGAGCCACACAGGCTCGTGAGAGCCTCTAGTTATTATTGTTGGTTCTTGGCTCTACTTTTGGAATTCTACACATTCTGTCTGACCATGAAAAAATCAATACACAAAACAGAAACAGAGGGACATTCAATTCAAATTGGCAGAAAATAGTTAACAAAAAACAGATAAAACACAAATTCAGTATTGTATTTATTTTTTTTCGACAAAAACTATTTATTTAGAGATTTATGTAGGTTTGGCTTTCATTAAATTAGGTTTGCCCAGGAAATCCAAATTTAACCACCTTTTTCTGTCTTGAAATTATCCTCTGGTCACTAATTCTTGCTTATAAGTAGGTACCCCTTTCTGGATCCTGAATTTTACTCCCATAATTTCCCACTTATAAGCAAGGGTCTACGGTAGTTGAGCGAGGACTGTGAAGAGGACCTTATAATGAACTGTTACATAAACAATATTTTGTATCTGTTATTGTACAACAATTTGCTGATTTTAGGATAAATTTATCATAATTTTAGGCAATATCAGTTTTAATGCTTTGCAGCTTTAGGGCAAAGGAAGTTTGCTGTTGATATTAGCAGTAGATATACTGGTGGGTTGCCACAGCAGTTAGAAGAGACACTGTCATGCCATGTATGGGGATACACACAACCTATCAAACAAAGACAAAGTAATGATCCATTCCTTGGACAAGATATTAATAATGGTTCAAATACATTTCTGGAGTAAGTATAATAATGGTGTGTCAAGCAAAAGAAGGGATTCCATGTTTCGCTAATCTCTGGACATGCTGGACAGTATAATTCTTTTCCTGTTAAACAGACATTTGGTCCAGAAAAACTACGTTTTGCTGAATTTTAGTCCATGTGTCCATGGATCTTTAGAATGTGTGAAAATATTTTGGTTAATTCATGTCCTTATGCAGCAATATTTCACAATATTTGCTAATACAAGATTACATGTCTGATATGGAAAAAAACATTCCTAAGTTCTGATGAAAGTAATTGAAGAATTTTCTAACAATGAAGAAAAATCTTCTTGGATTACTTTGTACTGGGTTGATTTGAAAACTTGATGTTATAATATTTGTTAGCTTTGTATTCTCTGATTCCTCATGTGTTTCAAGTAGTCAAACGATTTGCAGTTAAAAGTTATTATTAGTTAAATGTTATGCTGAAATAGATACAAGAATTTATTTTCAATAATCTCAGCACGTCAATAGTTGTCAACCTTTGAAAAGGAAACTGTTGGTTAACAATAACAACAATTCTTTATTTTAAGAGGGTTACACAGTTGGCTATATAACGTGAAACTTGTGTAACAGAAATGCAATTGGAGATGAGTTTCATTATATTTTGGAATGTACATATTTTTCAGAAGAAAGGAAAGAAATAATAGACAGAAAATACCTTACAATGCCAACACTCAAATTTAAAGCAATTATGAATTTGTCGAAATAATCAACACTAAAAAAGGTTGTGCCAGTTCATTAGAATCATAAATAAAAAAAATTGATTCTCTCTGATAAAAAAGGGAGCCTCAACCTATACACCCTTTTCTTCTCTGACAAGTCTTCATCTGCTGCTCGTAACCTCATCACATGTATCATATGTATTATAATAAGATGCATGTCTATGTATTTCTGCGTACCATTATATCAACAAAGTTTTTTTTTAAGAATAACATATATAAATAATGGAAAAGCATAAACAAAAAATCATTGAAAAACAAAACTGCAAACATATACATGGCATACATTAGTATAAAAGTGAAGTTTAATGATGAAGTTCAATACAACTGCATAAAATGTTATGAAAAAATAAACATGATGAAATAATTGATATTTAACACTTTTTTATAGTTGTTAATTTCAGTAAATAATCTGTTATTTTGTATTTCAAAGAATTAACATTTGTAATATTTCTTAACAATATAGGAAAATTGTTCCACAAGGTTGGTCCAGAATACATAAAAGATTTCTTGAACAATTCAAATTTTGGTTTTTGCGAGTATGAGGTTTCCTTGAACAGCATTTCTCAAGGGGTATACATTTCTGTCTGAAACATAATGAAAGAGAGGAGAAAGATACCAAAGGAGCATTCAACATGCTAGTAATCAATTTTTGATGCATGAAATATCATCACCAACTTGTGATATTTTATTCTCTGTTCAACTGTCATCCAGTTTAAATGTTTGAATAAGGGTTCAGAAGGAGTGAAAGGGTCTGTTTCTAGTTGTATTCTAGCAGCTCTCTTTTGTAATTTTATGATTCCATGGCAATCATGCCACATCTTCTTATATCTATAAACCCTCACTGCTACAAATACTCCACACTATACATCAATAATCAATTAGTGGTATTTAAAACATATAACCATTATAAAATAATTTTCTGCAGTCTAGATTTAGAAATTTCTTAATCTTTGATAGTAGATATAGCCTAGATGAAATTTTTGAGAAGATCAAATCAATGGTTATAATTGAGTGAATAAATTATATCTGGTCAGATTGTTAAAGTACTGTTTTTAGGCTGAATTCATATAGCATATCTTTTTTTATTCTAAAAAATTGATCAGCAGGACAAGATCTACAAATATGTTAATATTGACTCCTTATTTGCCCCTAAATGACGATTTTTTAATGTTTTTTTTTGTGTTTTGGGCATAAACTACAAAAGATAATACATAGTAGTAAACTGTAAAAGTTAAAAATGATCAGGAAGACGGGATCAACTAAAAGGTTAACGAAGCCAAAATTATCAGTCAAATTCTTATAGGAGTTACTGTACTTTAATGAGGATTTTTATCCATTTTTGTGTTTTTTGGCAGAAACTAGATCAACATTGCCATACAAGCTTAAGATCAACAAAAAAGAGATTTTAGTTATTTCTAGTGCATTTTATTATAATCTACAATGTTGGAGAGGGGTCATTGTTGAAGATGTACTTAGATCAAGGTGAGCAACACATGCTCTTAAAAGTCTCTAGCTTATTTGACTCTAAATCTTGCCATGCAACCACAACTATAGAACTATTTCAGCTCCATCCCCCTGAAGTTTGACAAATGAGAGTGAGTTTACCCTAAATAACTTTGTGTGTACTGCATTTTTTAAATTTTTTTACAGATGTTTTAGTGTGGTACACTTTACAGACTTTGGTCCTAGTAATACCAATGAAAAAGTTTATTTACTATGTGCATATCATCAGTTGACCTTATCCATGGAACATAACTTTAAATCTAAGATCTCAGAAGAGAACTTCCATAAGGTAGTGTTTAACTATATCTGGTTCAGAAACAAATTTGTCAACTGTGTAAATCTTTGTAATATAGATATTCTCCTTCACTGTTTACATGATTGTCTTCTTTGTGATTACCTATAATGCTACAAGATTTGTTCTAGATCTATTGATGAATCGGTGTGTTCACGTTTCTCCAACATTTGATAATTAGACTAAAACAGCATTAAGGATTAGGAGGTCCTCTTAAGGACGGGCATCTTGATATTTACCTGTATATCACCTGTTTCAGTTCGTGCGCATTGCATTTGGGCCAATTTTTACAAAAACCAATCTTTCATTTGCTGCCCTTTTTGTAGTATTAATATTCTTGTTATCCCTTCATTTTTACATTCTCCCCAAAAATACAGCTGTAGTCAATTAGGGGCAGAATACACCCATTGTAATATGTTTCCTAATAGAAAAAACAATGGATATGGGGTATCCATCCATGACACAAAATCAGTACATGCATGACAAAAAACACACAAAAAAAACAAAGGAACAGAACCTTTGGGGACACCAAATTTTACATGTTGTTCAGAATAAACATTACAAATGTTTACCTGCTGTGTACAAAAGTATGTTTACATTATGGGACAACAATTAACACAGCACAAAATTTACACCATAAACAACTACAAAGACAATTTTGTTTGTATAAACTGATATATATATACATTTTTTTTGCACTTGTTTTTTTTTGTAAATTGACATCTGGCCACACCAATTTGATTAATAGTTATTCGGATTTTCCCGCTCCTGTTTTGGAGAAATTGACTTTTCAATAAAAAAAAATAATTACCACTTCCGCCAATTTTTGGGCAGCATGCCGCTCCAAAATTGGTTTATCCTTGACATTTTTTTTTCTCTTAGACGTTTTTCTCATGCATATATTGCTTCGAGCGATTCAAACGCACGTGTGATAAATCGATTTGTAAATAAAAGGTCAAAAATCGGAATGCCAACATGAAGTTGTGTCAGATCATTGCCGAGGACACGTAGTTATTAAACACACAGTTATTTGAAATGCATTTCGTTTTACCTGTTTTAGGAGACAAAAATAATAAATCTTTCGTTAGATGACCACAATCACATCAGTACTTGTTAGAACCATTGTAATCCCCGATCATTGTTTTAACAGACATAGTCCGAGATTACTCCGACGTCCAACAGCTGTTTGCCAGACAAGATGGGGGGCTGTTGTCCCAAGGCCCCATCTTGTCTGGCAAAACAGCCGTTGGACGTCAGAGTAATTTTGGACTACCACAGACATAGATATCTAGAGCTATCTGTCTTGGATGAAATTAATATTAAATTCACATGAATTTTTGAAAAATGACAGATTTATCTTATTTTAATGAAAACTCCATATTCCCTTGTTAGTCTATTGACATGCAATCAGAACTCTTTTGTAAGGGAAAATTTAAGAGTTCCAACATTCGAGACCAAAGTGGTGGTATTGGGATTGGCATGCTAATAATAATTAGGGATGTGTTATTGGTGCAACCACTTCCAGTTTGAAATACATTAATTGCAGGTTTCAGGGGCAAAAGGAAAAAGTATTTTGCTAAGTCAGAATAATGCATGTGAATGTGGTTAAATGTATTTTAAGGGAATAGATATAGGAAGATGTGGTATGAGTGCCAATGAGACAACTCTCCATCCAAGTAACAATTTATAAAAGTAAACCATTATAGGTCAAGGTACGGCCTTCAACACGGAGCCTTGGCTCACAAAGAACAGCAAGCTATAAAGTTCCCCAAAAATTACTAGTGTAAAACCATTCAAATGGGAAAACCAGCGGTCTAATCTATATAAAAAAGAGAAACGAGAAACACGTATGAACTACATAAACAGACGACAACTACTGTACATCAGATTCCTGACTTAGGAAATAAAAATGGGGAAGGGGAAACTTCTTCATGATAGATAGATACTTTGTTCTCTAAAACCAATTAACAAAGGTAAAGAGAGGGAAACACAATAATTTAACATACAATGCTTAAGGTGATACATGGAGTAAATTGTATATAAAAAACAATACAAAAATAGACAAAATAAAATTTTAAAAAAAAAACCCAGAGATATGATATTAATACAAATTTAAAGATAGAAATAGAATTAGAATAAAATGTCCATGATGAAGATATAGTATCCTGCAAGTGAAAATGCAGGTTTAGCTCTAAAAAACAATAATAGAAAGAGAGAAACTTAAAACAGCAAAAGAGATTAACTAGACAAGATCACCAAATAGGTAAACAACACAGATGCTCTGGCAGAGTAAGAAGTTCCTGTTGTAAAGTAAACATTCTGTGAGGAGTTTGAAGGTTTAACTACTAGTATTTTAATTGATGAAAATATTCTGCATTGTTGTTTATCTTTTCAGTTTCTCAGATATGTGAAGGCTTCATGTCCTAAAATGACTGAAGAATGTGAAAGTTTGTTACATGGATATTACTTAGCCAGTAGGAAAACAAGAAGTTCTGAAAGTAACTCTAAAGTACCTGTTTCAGCTCTGAAAACATTGTAAGTATTATTATATCTTATTTGCTGATTGATAAATAAGAAATATTAATTTCGTCTTAACTAACTGTCACATGCCAGTATTATCTTATGAGATAAAAGAACCAGTATAAAAATAAGATGTGGTATGAATGCCAAAGAGACAATTATTAACCAGAGTTTAAATGAAGCAACTACAGGTCACTGAATGGCTTTCAACAATGAGCAAACTGTATACTGGCACGTAAAAAAATGTGGCAGGGTTTAACATGTTTGTGTGCACTCAACTCTCCTCTAATTATAACCTGGGTTAGTGGAGGGGTCACTTTTGCCAAAATATGGTATAGTTTTAAATTTATCATCACTTTTCTCTTCTTAAATGAAACTATCTCAAGAGCCAAAATGCTAAGTAAGACAAATCTCTTCAAAAGAGTACATTATATGTTCTGAAGTCAGTCCATCTTAGAAATAAATTTATTGTCAAAACACACTTATGTTGTGCATTTTTTGACCTATAAAATTCAGGAAAACATTGCCTGCAATCTATGATCCCAAATGTTCTGTTATGAAAACCTGTTCTGGTTTATATTGACATGCCATTTTTGCTGTTTCAGGGGTGGTTGCCATAGTTATCTATTCTAAAAACTGTTATAAATTATGAAAAAATAAGATAACTTTGCAACATAAATAATGCATAATTTAGGAGTCATAACTTCACAGTTTATAATGTGATATGCCAAAAGGAAGTCAAACTGGTACAAGGGGCTGTATTAAGCTTGCAGTGAGGTGAGAGGTTTTTTGCTTCATGTTAAAGGCCTCACTGTGACTTTGAGATGAAGAACAGCAATACAAGTGCTGTTCCTTTGCTTTTTGTGTGTTTTTTGCTGTGTTTTTTGCTGTGTATGTACTGATTTTGTGCCATGGATGGATACCCTGTATCCTTTATCTTTCTATTATTGTATATTACTAAACCAAATCTATGTAGAAATTGGAATAATTTGGCAAGATTGAAAAAATATAAATTCTTACCCTTCCTGAATCTGTTTCTTGTTAGGTTGGGGTCTTATTGACGCCTACCCAATGTCTCTTTTTAGCTCACCTGACCTGAAAGGTCAAGTGAGCTTTTCTCATCACTTTGCGTCCGTCGTCCATCGTCCGTAAACTTTTACAAAAATCTTCTCCTCTGCAACTACTGGGTCAAATTTGACCAAACTTGGCCACAATCATCATTGGGGTATCTAGTTTAAAAAATGTGTCCGATGACCCTGCCAACCAACCAAGATGGCCGCCATGGCTAAAAATAGAACATAGGGGTAAAATGTAGATTTTGGCTTATATCTCTGAAACCAAAGCATTTAGAGCAAATCTGACATGGGGTAAAATTGTTTATCAGGTCAAGATCTATCTGCCCTGAAATTTTCAGATGAATCAGACAACCCGTTGTTGGGTTGCTGCCCCTAAATTGGTAATTTTAAGGAAATTTTGCCGTTTTTGGTTATTATCTTGAATATTATTATAGATAGAGATAAACTGTAAACAGCAATAATGTTCAGCAAAGTATGATCTACAAATAAGTCAACTTGACCAAAATGGTCAGTTGACCCCTTAAGGAGTTATTGCCCTTTATAGTCAATTTTTAACCATTTTTCGTAAATTTTTGTTATCTTTTACAAAAATCTTCTCCTCTGAAACTACTAAGACAAATTTAACCAAAATTGTCCACAATCATCATTAGGGTATCTAGTTTAAAAAATGTGTCCGATGACCCTGCCAACCAACCAAGATGGCCGACATGGCAAAAAAATAATACATAGGGTAAAATGCAGTTTTTGGCTCATATCTCTGAAACCAAAGCATTTAGAGCAAATCTGATGGTATAAAATTGTTCATTAGGTCAAGATCTATCTGCCCTGAAATTTTCAGACCAATCAGGCAACATGTTGTTGGGTTGCTGCCCCTGAATTGGTAATTTTAAGAAAATTTTGCAGCTTTTGGTTATTATCTTGAATATTATTATAGATAGAGATAAACTGTAAACAGCAATAATGTACAGCAAAGTTAGATCTACAAATAAGTCAACATGACCAAAATTGTCAATTGACCCCTTAAGGAGTTATTGCCCTTTATAGTCAATTTTTTACAATTTTCATAAATTGTGTAAATTTTTGTAAATTTTTACAAAATATTTTCCACTGCAACTACTGGGCCAAGTTCATTATAGATAGAGATAATAGTAAGGAGCAAGAATGTTCAGTAAAGTAAGATCTACAAACACATCACCATCACCAAAACACAATTTTGTCATGAATCCATCTGTGTCCATTGTTTAATATGCACATAGACCAAGGTGAGCGACACAGGCTCTTTAGAGCCTCTAGTTATTCATACTTCTGTACAGTTTTGGCTGTTAAATTTTTGTCTAGGCAGTTTTGAGGTTTCAAAACATCTGGTCTTGATCATACCAAAGAAGGTTAGGATTTTATTAAGATCCTGGATTTCATCTGTACATAATTTTTCTGGAAACAATTTTATTCTGCATAGCACTGTGTTGGTTCATATGTTAGTTTGATGTCACATACCTCATTGGTGATATATAAACAACATACCTATCAGATTATTACAAGTTGTATATTTCTAAAAAGTCAATACATACATCATCAGTTATGCATTAAATTTGTGTTGTTCAGGAATGATTTTTCTATGAAATGTTTTCCAGACTAGTTATTTGTCTTCTCTACATTGTAACTGTGTTGTTTTTACTTTAATCACCCCTTGGTATCCCTAATTATTCTTTAACCTGAGTAAATACAGTGTTAAAAAAATCTGGTCAACAAAATATTAAATACAAATATTAAATACCCTGCCTCCCTCATCAATTTTTAGGTCACCGGGGCCCAAATGATCAAAATAGTCAATTGATGCCCTTGAAATGTTTTTTTTTTTACATTTTTTGTGAAAGTCCAATTACTTTTTCAAAAATCTTCTTCTCTGAAACTACTTTGCCAAATACTTAAAAACTTTAATTGAATGTTCCTTAGGGTATCTAGTTTATAGATTGTATTCGGGATTTGATTCATTCAAAAACATGGGGGCAGTTTCTTAAAATAGAACATAGGGGTCAAATGAAGTTTTAGGCTTTCATCTCAAAAACTAAAGCAGTAAGAGCAAAACTGACATAGGTGAAAGTGTTAAACAGGTTTAGATCTACCTGTCAAGTAATCTTCAGACCAATAGGACAACTTATTGTTGGGTTACTGTCCAGAAATAGTTAATTTTTAGGAAATTTTACAGTTTTAGGTTATGTACTATCTTTAATATTATTATAGAAAGAGAGAAAGTGTAAATAACAAAATTGTTCAGCAAAGTAAGATCTACAATAGTCAAATGCCTGAAACTGAAATTAAAGCCAGGTGAGCGATATCAGGCTCTCGTGACCCTCTTGTTTAAAGTCTTGTCTGAGAACCAGAAAGTGTATTGGACATGGCCTTAGTTCTTTGTATAAAGCTTAATATTTCAAAAGATAGGAGAGACCTTGTTAGTTCATACCTTGTATACCATTGACATATGTTCAGAAGTTTTCCTCAGCAATTGTTTAAAAACTATGTTTTTTTTGTCAAATAATTTTTTCAGTTGCTATGAGTAACAGGACAACTATGTTTGTTGAATCATTGCAAGATAAACATCCAGTCAACAAACATAGGAAGTGTTTACTCAAAATATCATAGCCTGGGTAGAATCAGGAATAAAATGAATGGTCAAAATGCTGATAAGGTGTGATAAGTGCCATAATATTTGGCCTAGAAATTGAAGTTTTATAAAATCAGGTAGATTTTGTTTTAAAAACATGTGAGGCCAAAAATAAAATTTTAATTGTTTGATGTTGCCTACTTACCCATTTAAAAAGTAGCCTACCCAATAATTTTATGACAAATCATTTCAAATTTTTTTTTTTAGCTTACCTGACCTACAGGGTCAAGTGAGCTTTTCTCATCACTTGGCGTCCGTCGTCATCTTCCATCGTCATCGTCGTTAACTTTTACAAAAATCTTCTCCTCTGAAAAACCACTGGGCCGAATTAAACCAAACTTGGTCTGAATCATCCTTAGGGTATCTAGTTTAAAAAATGTATCCGATGACCCTGCCCACCAGTCAAGATGGTCGTCATGGCTAAAAATAGAACATAGGGGTAAAATGCAGTATCTCTGATACTAAAGCATTTAGAGCAAATCTGACACAGGTAAAAATGTTCATCAGGTCAAGATCTATCTGCCCTGAAATTTTTCAGACGGATCAGACAACCCGTTGTTGGGTTGCTGCCACTAAATTGGTAATTTTAAGGAAATTTTGCAGTTTTTGGTTATTATCTTGAATATTATAATAGATAGAGATAAACTGTAAACAGCAGAAATGTTCAGCATAGTAAGATCTTCAAATAAGTCAAACATGACTAAAATTGTCAATTGACCCCTTAAGGAGTTATTGCCCTTTAAAGTCAATTTTTCACTATTTTTCGTAAAAATTTTTAATCTTTTACAAAAATCTTTTCTTCTTAATCTACTTGGCGAAAAGGAATTAAACTTAGCCACAATTATTATTAGAGTATCTTGATTGAAAAATGTATCCGATGACCCTGCCCTACAACCAACATGGTCCCCATTGGTAAAAATAGAACATAGGAGTCTATGGGAAAAATGTAAAAAAACAATTTCAAATTGTCACAACTTGAAAACTACTTTAAATAATGATAAGGGGTCTTCAGTAACTTTTTTAAGACTACAATGGGATGACTTGATTTTTTTCCAGGGGTTGCTATTTTTTCAGGGGGGGGGGGGGGTTGCTAATAATTTCTCCTTGATATGTTCCATTTTCAGAATTATTCAGTGTTACTTTTTCTATAAACCATTATTATATCTTTTCTTTCAGCATACTTATATTGGGTGAATGCCCCCTCAAATTTTTTTTGAAGGGTGTTCCATGAAAACATTTAAAGGCATTTTCAGCATTATACAGGCCCTGGGTGAAATAAATTTTGGAGCGGAGGAAAGGAAATTTTTATTTTTTTGTTAATTATCTTGAATATCATTATAGATTGAGATATACTGTAAACAGCAAAAATATCAAGCAAAGAAAGATCTACAAATAAGTTAACAGGACCAATTGACATCTTATTGGAGTTATTGTCCTTTAAAGTTATTTTCTACAATTTATTGGTAATTTTTGTAAATCTTTTCAAGAATCTGCTTTTAATTTAACTACTGGGCCAAATTAAACCAAACTTGGCCTCAATCATTATTAGGGTATCTATATGATTTTAACCTTATTTTACACAGTAGACACAGGTGAGCAACACAGGCTCTTGAGAACATCTAGTTAAAGATTTTTTTCCTGCTCTTACGTTGTTTTCTTGTCTAAAACATGTAACTTATGTTGTTGGCCAAAAAAAAAAAATAAAATTCCTACCTACCTACCCAACCCTACAAGGTACAGATAGGCAAATCAAACAAGGATTTTTTTAAGGATGGCCTAACTGATGAGTATGTGCAATTTTTAAACAATAAGTTCTTTCAAAATTTAGCTTTGTGTACAAAAATGAAAAAAAAAAATTTAACACCTACATTTGAGTGTAAAATATTGAGAACATGCAATTAAAAAAAACCAAATGTTTGCATAAAAGGTGTTGATTGTAGAGACAGATATCATAATAAAATTATTGAGTTTGCTAGCTTTAATCTTTGCATTACAAATATTGTAGATATTCCCTTTCAATGAGTCATGCAAGACTTAGTCTGAGAAGTGAAATAGCAGTCGAAGATGGTTTAATGGCTATTTGGATCTATGAAGAGTCATTAACGGAAAGATTAGGTACATGTAATGGGCTGAATAATGAGGAAATATTATAGGAGTCGATAGGAGTGCTTCAAAATGAAAAGTCTTTCTAGAGCCTTACTTGAACTGACATTAAACAGAGTAGACATCAGACAACATCAGTTTAAGGAAGAAAAATGACAAAAAATGAAAATTTTTATGAAATTCCTGGAACTCAAATAATACTTTCAAAAAAATTAAATGGCAGAAGAATCTAGGGTTTTCACAAAAAAATGCTGGACAATTTTTTCAAGAATATAGTACATTTTATATATAAATACAAATGAGAGTTTTTTTGTGCAAATCTGAATATTCTTTTTGTGATAATTTACTTTATAAATATTATCGTTCAGAACAAATTTGAAAACCAACCCCATATTCATACAACCTAAGATTAACTTAATAAATATGCAGGCATACAAAGTTCTATTGAATAAGAATACATGTTTTCCAAAACAACATGTCATCATGGTAGACCGACAACTTTGATGAATTCAGCTAAAAAAGAGATCATAGAGAAGTTTTTGATAGATATGTCAGATCCAAGATATATATAAAGGGCAACAGTACCATTAGATGAGCTTAAAGGCTTCAATGAACTTAGATTGGTAAACCTTACCCAAATGTACTCAACGGATTAAGGAGTTTTTATTTTGACTAGTACATGAATAAAAATTAATTATACCCCAAGGAACAAAGGTCAGTAGGGAATAATTTTTTTCAAATGTCTGTCTGTCAGTCCTCACAAGGACAATTTACATGCAGAAATCAAGCACTGAAGTACAAAGCTTGGTACATTAAATTTGACGTGACATTATGTGTTGCTCTGGGTGAGAGAAATAACGAAAAGAGAAAGTAGAGAGGTACGAAACTATGAAGATGAATATAGTAAAAGTTTATTTAAAAGTCAACTTGATATAAAAATTAGGAGATGTGGTATGATTGCCAATGAGACAACTATCCACTAAAGTCCAAATGAAGTGGATGTAAGCAATTATAGGCCTTCAACAATGAGAAAAACCCATACCGTATAGTCAGCTATAAATAGCCCTGACATGAAAAATATGAAACAATTCAATTGAGAAAAATATTGATTTTGTTCTTGTTTTATTTGATGCATAATATTGCTATAAAGGCCTTGTAACTTATAGACGATGTTTCTGTGGTCCCTTCCACTTCGCAAGGCTTCCTTTTTAATCCGGTGTTAGAGGGTAATGCTTCCTAGTGTGTCGTTTTTTTCTATCCATATCTATAAAGTTACCACTTTTTAACGGCATCTCATTTTTACAAACTAAACACAGGTAGGAGATATGTGTCTCTGTACGTCCCAAAATTAGTTTCCGTTCTCTAACTTTAGTTTGCCTCAACCAAATGTTATGAAACTTATACACAATGCTTATTACCACAAAACACAGATCAAGTTTGAATTTGCGTCACTTTTACCATTCTTGAGTTATGTCCCTTTATAACGTTATATTCAAGCGGGGGCTTCATCTGTGTCCCATGGATACATTCTCCATTTATTTGTAAATTTCTTTTAAAGGGAAACTCCGCAAAAAAATGAAAAATTGATATTTTGTTCTTTAAGCATAAAAAACCACGTTCATTAATAAAAAACTTTTATTCTCTATGTAAAGAGATCAAAATCGATTTTTAAAATTCACTATCAGTTCTCGACATATCGCCATCTTGTCGGCATGTTCGATCTAAAACGTCACGTGATATCTATAAACCACAAAGAACAAAAAGAATCGGGGATTTACCGACCGTGCCTTAAAAACTCCCATCATCAATTGGGGATTACCGTAGACGGTTATTCAGTGACAGAATGTCTTGTCAAGAGTACGGTTGTTCTGTCAGACAAGGTTATGACAAAAGTCTACATATTTTTCCCAATCCCACAAAAAAAGAAAGAATTGTATCAGACTTGGTTGTACAATCTTAAACTAACAGCAAATAGTTGCATCTATAGCAAGCACAAGTTGGTGTGTGAAGACCATTTTGAACAATATTGTTTCGAGGGAGATTCGATGGTAATTATCCTTTTTTAATAACAAAATAACCTAGCAGTTCTGATAGCTATAGTTATCAAAGCCTTATATGATAAGATCTCGTTGAATAAAAAAATATAGATTTGATGAGGGAGAACAGTTTCAATTAAAAGAAAGACAAATGCAGTGTTCTTGTAACAATCACTGATTTACAGAAGATTCATTAGTATGCCTCTTTTATATAAAGTGCATTGATTTGTATAAAGAATAGTTCCGTATTTAGACAAGATAATTTTTCAATTAATAAAGTTATACGATATAAAATAACATTTTTTTAATTATGAAATTTAACGGCTATTGACAAGGAGCAATGTTAGGAAGAGGTTTTAGCTGGAACATAATATGTTGATATAGTATAATATTCCCAGGTTATAGATATGTAAATATCGAAATTTCGGACATCTCAACTTTTTTATTAAAAGTGGGTTTTTTTTAACTAATCTTTAAATTATATCAAATTGATACGGGATCAATTCGGAACGGTCACTTATAAAGACACTTAGCTTTATAGTTAAATGTGTGACTCTATCTGGTATGTTCGGTGAAAAATTTATAGGTTTTTTTCTTTTTAAATTTTATTTACTTTATCTTATTATATATATATTTTGGCTTCCTCCCGAATTGATAATAGCAGAGACATATAATACAAGAGATTCGCAACTCTAGTAGAGTCTATATAACAGCCAATGAAATGACGTGGCCACCGGAAAGCCGATTAATCCGATGGATTTATGGGTAATAACCCGTATTGTTGTGTAAAAGGTTCTACGCCTCACGATTTTTCTAATGGATAATGCCGATACCTTTCACAGCTAAAGCATGCAAGTATATTTAAAAGTTACAAAAAACTAATTCTAATAATTTGTTATTGATAAAATGTGTTCTAATGATGAGATTAATCAAATACAAACAAAGTTAAAACTCGGCCCATTTTACTTCACCTATTGCCGTAGAAACCATTTGATCTCCCAATTTTTTTCTTAAAACTTGAAAATATGCTAATAAATATATAATTTTATGGGCCAATAGTACTCCCAAATGTTGTTTCGTGAAAACAAGACTATTTTCGTAAAATTTGATCCAACAATGTGGCGATTTTTTCTGATTGATACCCGAAATTTTTTATTAAACTGGCTAAATATTGAAATTGTTCATGGACAAATTTCCTTAAATCAGTCCTTCTTTTTTGTGCACTATGAAATTTATAGCCTGCATTTTGTTATTCATTTTTCATTCTGTTTATAGCAAAGTTGTTTATTTTCTCCTATTCTGAAGTCATTGTTTTTTTCTTCTTTTTAGGGTGCCAAAGATGAACGAATGCAGTAAATTTACAAAAGGAGTAAAATTTTCCTAGTAAAGGAAACCTTCTGCTGGTCGTTATATTATGAATGAGCTTCATATGCATCTGTTGTCGTTTCAGACTACGCTTCTCGTTCAAAACAGGAACCTAATTCATTTTTAAATTAAAATCGTATTGAGGACATTTCAATGGTGACTGCAAAAGATATATATACATATATATATATATATATTTGATAATAAAAGATTTTATTTACACCAAGGATTTGTATATGTATACACATAAACAATCTTACTTTTAAATTGCCATCTCTTTACCCCAGAATAAAAAGACAAAAACCGCTACAAATGATTAAAAGACAAAAACCACTACAAATGATTGTCTCGTGGAAACAAGGTTATAAAATACTTTTTAAATAGTGTCTTCCGTGTTGCTTTGATGTATGACCTGTGTTTTTTTTATAGATTTTTTGTTGCTTCGAGGACACACATATCCATCTATGTATGCAGTATTGTCAATTGTTTTTGTTGGTGGGTCTCTCGCTTATGTTTTCGTCCTTTTCACTATCAACAAAGAGTTCGTTATCAGTTTATTCAACTAGGAGTATATCTAAGTTGTAACTATTAAGATTGTCATCCCACGAAATTAAGATTGTCATCCCACGAAATTAAGATCGTCATCCCACGAAATAAAATCGGAATTTTCCATATTGCGTGCACATGAATGAAGCTTTATTCAAATGAGAAATTAATTGTAATTTTCTTAAATATTAATTCTCAATACACACTTCGAACATGAAGAAACCATAAATTTACCGACAATCATTTAAAAAAACAACTCAATGCAAAAAAACTGTCAAACAACACTTAGAAATCAAACATTTACCGACAATCCTACAGAAAAAAAATTTCAATGAAAGCCCAATAAATGAGGAATATAAAAATAAATAAAATTTTAATAATTTATAAATATCAAGAATAAAAAACAAAGCCTATCATGATTAACAATTAATTAACAAATAAATTAAGTTTTTTTCCATATTAATTAATTATACATTTTGTGACTTGTATTTTTGGAAAGAGTGTGGACACCTGTGGTGTGACAACTTCTTGTTTACAAGGTGTCAATTAAAACTCATTATTTATAACATGTTCGTGATTTACCTGGTCATCGAATAATTCAAACCTAATATACATGTCACACTGTGAAATTATGTCTCCGAGACAGGTGTATATTCAATAGAAACCCATTATGTAACTATCAAATAAAATGAACTCTGACACAATTTATCAAGTGTTAATTATTTAATATCAGTTTTTTTTTTATACAATATCAAATTATGTCTCTTTTTCAATAATACAAATCTAAAATCAAAATTACATTAAAATAAATAATTATATATGTACTCAAATTATATTTAATTAATTATGATAAATTTAACACTGAAACAGTTTATGTTATGCTTAAACATTCGTCCTTACTTCGAGTACTTTTAATACTTTTATTAATGACTTTATTACCTAAGGAGAACTCGCGAGGTTTAACTAGTGGCCGCGTGTTATTACGGGATTTCGCTGAGTTGCGAATCTCTTGAATTATATGTCTCTGATAATAGGTATGTCAGAATTATTGATAGATGTCGTGTCAGAGCGACACATTCAGTTAGGTATTCCAAGGACGTATATTAGATACACGTCCCTGGGTATTCCAGTGACATCCTGTCAACTAAAAATTCGTAATACACAATTATATAATACATGTTCATGCATGGCCTCTTTATTGAGGTACCCGGTGTGCGGTACGTCTAAACACTGCTAAGGAGTCCTTACTGCACTAAGGACGTATACTATGCCACTAAGGACTAGATTGGGTGCTGTAACATGTATTATTTTTCCATATTAAGTAAGAGATTGATATTTAATGCATAAATTAAAAATTTTATAGAAAAATAAACACAAATAAACAAGTTATTAAGCATTGTTTAAGCACGTACCCATTTTTCTTTGATATGCCGAAAATCAGTGAACCGATTGACACGTGTCATATAACATACCAACTGAATAAACAATCATAATCTTTTTATTTTAAGTAATTAACAATTGTATCGAAAAGATAAATGCTTAATAATTTATAATTAAATATGTTGTTCTTTTTTGCAATGATTAAAAGGACAAATAATTTTATTTATTTTTTATATCTTTCTCGACAAAGTTATTTCCCATTTGTGCACGACTTTGATGTGCGCCAACTAATAAGTTAAGAGTGTGGTCAGCTTGTTAAATGTTTATATAAGAGCATGGAAGTAATATTTAGAGATACCAAGGCAAAAGGAATAGATATATTTATAAGTTTTTTGTTTTAATTTTAATTCCAACAAAGATGCGTGTTTTATGAAAATTTATGAGTAAATTCCGAAAAAAACTATCAAAACCTGGTGTTTGCTTCTCCACTTTCTATTGCTACTTCATACTTAGTACGAATTACGATTGAATTGGAAAAAAAAATCATGTGACATCCTTGGGGTTATTCAAAACCACTAGTTTTCAACCAGTTTGATAGCTGTTTACAAAGGCTTCATACCGTATTATTTTTTTGTAATTGTTCGACATTTTTTTTTCTAAAACTATAAGAAGTTTAAATATCATTATCGAACTTTGAAGTTTCATTTTCAAATATATAAAGGAGACAAATGTTTTTTTTTAAATGTTCCACAGTTTTTAGCACATTATTTACGAAAATTACCTCGTATGTGTTAATTTAGAGCAATAGATATAATTTTCACATAAAAAGGTTTTGCTTCGCACGAATGCCTTGAAAATATGCTTTTTCATGATGTGAAAATAATCATTTTATGTAATACAAGATAATTTGAATACTTTATACCTAAATCTATCACGTGTAAAAAACAAGGATCTGTATAGTATATTACTATACAAATCCTTGAAACTAAACCAACAGAAATATTTTCAAATATAATTTCTCTAAATATATTTTTTCTTTAAGAAGAACAAGTATGTCAGAAGGAAATCCGATTTGTATTTTTATAACCAAATTGTCTGTTTAAGATATTGTATGAAATAATGACTATGTTGTATGTGCTTTACTCATTGTTGAAGGCCGTACTCCTTCTACGACTACATGTACAATTTCAAGCTTGAACTTTTATATTGCGCCGAGTGTTTTACTTATATAGAGGGTGCATTATATATTCTCAAGATTTTATATTGTATAATTTTTCACGTATGACAGAATGTTGAACTTTGTCTTTTCAAGTGAAATTTTGAATATAATTTGTTAAAAATGTTAAAATGAGCAAACTCATTAAAAAAAATCACACGTTTACACCATACAGTATACTTGATTAAGAATATGTATTTCATCAAGATATTGTTTGTATCTATCATTTTTACAACTAACAGAATGTTTAACCTTTTTTGATGGTTGCATTAAATGTGTCTTTTAAACACAACTATTTCTAATTGTATTGAATCGTCCTAAACACAGAGGCGGATTTAGATGGGTTTTCAGGGGGCCCGGCCCCCCCTTTTGTGGAAAAAATTTAGTTGATTATATAGGGAATCACTGAAGCATGACTGAAACGGCCCCCTCTGAGGAAGTCAGTGGCCCCCCCCCCCCCCCCCCCCCCTACCCCTTATAAAAATTTCTGGATCCGCCACTGTAAACATGCATGAAATATTTGACACACGGAAGTTGCGGTGGCATCACCCTTGTCTAATTGGCTAGTAGGGTTAAGTTGAAGATTTTAATTTCTTTATAAGCTAATTATGCACCCGGTTAGAACGAAATGTAAGTGACCGGACAGGGGAATTGAAAACAAAATAACAAACACCATTCAGATCCCGTTACATATTTTCATACCTCTCCGTAAAAATAACGTTATTTGATATGCAGAAGCGTCATCCCTTTTCTGTCAAATTCTTTGCAAATCGGTCAACTTTGACGCAATTTATCTAAAAAACAGGGATGGTAACATGTTTGTTTCTATGAAAGCACGGATTCAGAATACAATCATTGACATTCTGTTAGTTTTTAGTCTTTCTCCGTATATAAGAGAGCGTAATGATTGAATAAGTGACGACGCTAGGCGTATTTATGAGGTCGTTTTCATTAAGCCTACTATGCCATTTATTAGCACTTTCTTCAAGCTTTGTATTATCTATAATTTAATAAAATAATCAATTTCCGACTCACTTTTATTATTTTTTTATAAACATTTTTGTCTCCCTTATCTACCCCCTTTTCTCCTTTCTCCCGCCCCTTCTCTCCTTTCTCCCGCCCCTCTCTCCCTTCTCCCGCCCCTCTCTTCTTTCTCCCACCCCTTCTCTCCCTGTCTCCCTTTACCCTGTCCGACCCCTCACAGATAGCAGGATTCCCGTGTAATCAGTTATGTAATTTGACACGTCTCTAACGGTTCATTGATTTTCGGCATATCAAAGAAAAACAGGCACGTGTCTACACAATGTTGAATAACTCATTTATTTGTGATTATTTTTCTATAAAATTTGAAATTTATGCATTAAATATCAATATCTACCATAATATGAAAAGACATAAAAGGTAATAGCACCCCATCTAGTCCTTAGTGGCATATCATAAGTCCTTAGTGCACTAAGGACTCCTTAGCAGTGTTTAGACGCACCCCCCGGTGTGCACAGGTAACATTTATTGAACCATATATTTGTGTCTAACGTTGTTTATCTTGTGTGTGTTTGAAATTATAATTCCACCTTTTAATGAATGATGTTCTGATAATAATATTATCCACTATTTTTGCTGATAATAAGTTTAAAAAAAATTATAAACATGACCTTTGAACATTTTTGTGAAATGAATATTGTTTTGTCATGATTGTGGACCATATTTTTGAAGAAAAAAAATTCTTCACGCAAATACAAGCTTTTGTCGATTGGCAAACATGCAGATATATAAAGTAATGCAGCACTTATAGTCACTATCAATATTAATTCATTGAAGATAAGAGAGCCTTTCTATGTCTAATGTCCCTATCTTTATAAGGATTAGGACGACAGGGGAAAAGGAGCGGAGATAGAGTGGCATAGTGAAAAAAAATAACCGAATAGAGAACAATATAGAGAATGATCGACGAAAAGCGAAATAGTTATTGTAAAGGAGCGGAGATAAAGAGAGGCATAGTGAAAAAAAATGTTTGCCTGACAAAGTTATTGCTCGCTTTGATATTTTTAGTTATACAAAATCACACATCGTGTTCCTAATTGGTATTCACGTGCACTAACTTGATGCTGGGAACAGTATATTAATATATATGTTGCTGCTTGATGTGTTAAGTTTCTGCATAGCATGGTTAAAAATAATAAGTATCCCATTTGTTATATCGTAGTGTCACGGTGTTACTTTGTTAAATTTATTTAGTTTGTTAATGATTGTGTAAATAAGAATAAATCTGTATAAAAACTTCATACCATTTTAGTGATTGCCTATAGGCGTTTGATTATTGTTATATTTAAGATATATATATATATATTTAGAACATTTCATACATCTTAAAGTAAAAGATGTGTGTCTGAGTTAAACGACACAATAACCCTGTAATACTAGTACGAGAGTATAGCATGTAAAAATTCCTACTCAATATGGTTGTATTGGAAATCTTTTCATACAGATTGACAACTCATGGTCCGACATGCATGTAATATTTGCCACATGACGCTCATAGTTTTTTATACCATCATCATCTTATTCATTAAATATTGCTGTAAACATCGATGGTTCACACCCAAACAAAATGGGAGTAATATACCCTCAGATCTTCTCCGTGGTATACACTTGTGAAATATATAGACGACATTCGGTATTGAAGTGAATCTACATCTCACAAACACAATTTTTGAATTACGATTTTGAGTGAACACCCACCAAACCAATACAAACGTATGGCAAGATATAACCATGCAGGTATTTAGTTTTCGTCAGACACAAGATAAATAATCACTCTCATAAACGTATATATGCATGCAGTTTCAAATATCAAGAACAAGCGGTCGATGTCTATAGATCATTGTTAAGTCCGTTTACTAACTGTTCAGAGTCAGACATGTCAATAGTTCATTCTTGGAACCTTCATATACCCCATCCGACGATGGGAACTCTTTCTGATAGTGTTGACAACATAAGCTTGTTTATCTGTACAAGTGGTTGCATGGCCTCTCCTGCCCCAACAAACAAATACGCTTCTAGTCTGCTGTCTCTGGAGCTCATCCTCAATGGCGCATATATGTCAGGAAACTTACAAGTATACTAGTAAAGATTGTTTCAAGAACAACGAGGTTGGGACGAACTGTTCTAAAATCGTCAATATCAGTAATACATTACTAAGATATGCCTTTAATTACAACAACTGTATTACTAATTTGGATTAATGACGGCTATCCTAAAAAAAATCCTCAAACAAATTAATGTATTAGCTTAAATTTATAATGTATGTATATTCATTAATGAAAAAATCGATAATTGGTATTCTTTTCACAAATAATTTGTCTAAGTGATTGTCAAATGAATTCAATTATGTAAGAATGAAATGTTAATAAGAAAATTAAAAAAAATCATGCATGTTGTACTGTTGTATTTTTTCAATTAAAAACTTTAAATATGCGATAGTTTTACGATTGTTAGCATTTAAACATCGCCAGATTTGAATACAAGTTAAAGAATTCCGGTAAAGTAAATTAAACAGATGTGCAATGATTATTAATTGGGAAATGTAAGTAAACATTTAATTTTGAAGATTAAAA